CGCCACCTGCAGCCCATTTCGATCGCCAAAATATACTCGAAAATTTGGTTTTTAAAAATTATGTAATATTTTAAAAAAAAAAATTGTTAAAATAAACATTAAAAAATTTCTAAAATCACGCTGTTTTGAATATTTTGTTTAAAAATTGTACTAAAAAAATTCCAGACTAATGAAAACTTTTTATTTATTTCTTAAACTGTTGTTTGACATTTGAACTTTTGAAAATACTTATTGTTATTATTACAAATTTTAGGGTGAGAAAAAATCAAGCATAATTGTTTTCTCTGTTTTGAGATTTTTTTAAAAATATTAGCTAAGTATTAATAATTTGCTAAGTATTATTAATTTTTAAATATTAACTAATATATTCTGTTTTACCTGTATTCATTGGTCATTATTATACTAGTCTTTTTTTGGTATTATTCAAATAATATTTTAAGTTATCCTCATTGATGCAATTAATTCTAATTCAAAAAGTCTCTTACAAATTTATGTGGCACTTAAAACAAATATTTTTCCGAATTACTTTTTCATACATTTTTTACATACACAATGGTAAATAAGGGGAAAAAATAAAATCCAGCATCAAATATAAAAACAATTGAGGACATTTTGAAATTGAAAAAGTGTTTAATTGAAAGTATTAAAAATATTTGTAATGAGTTAAACTTTAAAAACGAATTTGTGATGTAAGAAAAATCACGAACTGCCCTTATGGTTAGAACGACAACAGTGAAATTGTGTAACTAATAACTCTAGCATGAAATTCTTAAATGAAGTACGACTACTTGGCATCCTTGTCTTCTGAGTTGGGTTTAATGTAAGAGGGTAATAAAAGGCAAAAAATTAATTGCAGAGAATTTTTTTCCAAATCTAGTTCAATATAACACAACAATTGAAAATACAATTTTCAAAAAAAGAGATAAATTATTAAATTTGAAAAATAAATATTGCATTGTTTGAGTTGCAAATTGTAATTTATTATAAAAAATATTATAAAAGAGAAGAAAATAATGTTTTTTTGAAAAAATAACTTACAATTATTAAANATAAAAAAAAAAAAAAAAAAAAAAAAAAAAAAAAAAAAAAAGAGGAATCATAACAAAAAAAGAAAGTTAAAAATTGAAAAAGCAGTTTCTTTTAAAATTGTAATGCAAATTTTTTTCAGATTATTTAAACTAATAATTATTTAAAAAATGCTAGTTTAAAGTTTATTTCATGCATTCTACCTATTTATTAAAGCTTATTTATTGCGCGTTATTTTGATACTTATTGTAGCTTTATAACTAAAAGATTTTAGTGGTATAAAGTATAAAGCTACACATTTTATCAATTGCAAATATTAAAAAAAAAATTATAAATAATAGAAGGTAATAAAGTAATCATAAATATAATAAAAATTTTATAAATAATAAAATAAGTAAAAATAGAAAATTGCAAAATTTTGTGAAATTAAATAACCTTTATTAATCATTAGTTAGCTAAATCTAAAAGCTCCCGGTAATATACATATAATTTCTAAAGTTTCATAATCTAGTGATAAAATTTCTGAATGAATCAATAACATTTATTTAAAACAACATTCAAAGTATGATTTTTAGAAAAGGTAATAAATAAAGATTATTTGATTTGTAATCTGAGGTTATTTTTTATTTTAAGAAAATTTTTTTTTTGGCAAACTGTTAGTAAATATAGTTATAAATGAATCGATTCTCTAATAATAAATACAATAATGCAAAAAAGTTTAAAACGAATACTACATATTAAATTCTTGAAGAAAGATCAAAGATTAAAATAAGTAGATATTTTTTTCAGACTATGTATGTAGGTAATTGTCAAAATGAAAGAAGAATACATTCTCTACTATGTCACTTCACTGTGTTGTTGTTTCCGGTGATGTACCAAAATTTTTGTTAAACTGTATTTATATTTAATATCTTCAGTTGTACGCTGTATCGAGATGGTACTGTATGAAATAAAGAAATGTTTAAATCTTCAAGTTTCTTTATGTGAGATAAAACTTTAACTCACTACTGTGCTACTCCACTAACGCATCAACAAAACTTTTTTGAAGTGAAATTTCTAATGCGACTTCCAACAAGGTTGCGTTAAACCTTCAACACTACTGCCAACAAGCGGTCTGTGATCATTGCAGGAGATTTTAATGTGAATTTCTCATTACCTGAAGCTGAAACATTATTAACTTTCCTTAAAGACAAACCTGGATTGGAAATAATAAATGGTAGGAATGATCCAACAACCAAAGATCCACTACCATTGATGCAGTTTTTGCAAGAAATAATGAAAAAATAGAATTTAAACATTTTGTATCTTACTTTAGTTATCATAATCTTATTGTAAATGTTATAGATTTGGATATTTCTCCACTAGAAAATGATAATTAAAAGATGCGATCAATTGTGAATTGTAAGCAATGTTAATAAAGTTTGTCTTAAAGAAATAATATGATTTCACTAAAAATCAATTTCTACCCCTTCCTATTTTCATTTCCACATTACGAAGTTTCACTTCTTCCGCGCGGAGGGACTCCACGCACAATTTTTTTTTTATCAGCACAGTTCGGTCACAGAATAGAGGCAAGAAAAAAATATGTATATACCTACTTGCAATACGAATAACATAGGCATTTTGGGCATGTAAAAGCCATTACAAGCATATTCCCACTTTGCCATTTTGATTGAAGTAATTCTGGACTAAGGAAAATAAAACTCTCGGTTGATGCCTGCGAACAATTTTTTTAATCAAAGTTTGGTGATTGTCTAGTAGCTGAGAATAAAAAACACGGATATAATCACAGGGTTCCCACTCAATTTCAGAAAAAGAAAAAACTTTTCCAGGTATAGCAGGTAAATTTGAATAAAAATTGAGACCATATTTTCATCAGAAAATTTTAGTTCTTTTATTTGTAATGTGAAATATTAGATTTTCTGTGTAAAATATTAAATGAGGAAAGGAACACTTCTGTTTGACTAAAATGAGAACCTCTAACAACAAATAATTGAAATAGAAATCAGAACTATTTAACTCGAATCATAATAGCTGATTCCTGTTACTGACAATTTTAAGGCAGGTTATTTTCCAGGCATAATATAGGAATATTCCAGGTTTTTTGTAAAAAAAAATTGCATCTTTCCCTGATTTTTGGGGTTAAAATAAAATTCCCTGACCCATGGGAACCCTGTATCAGTAATCTCCAAATAAGAATTGTACCCCTCTATGTCGCTATAAAAAAATTGTTGTGCCTTTACATAAGTAAACACAAAGCAGTAAAACTTTGTAACACACAACTTTTCCTCGCAGTCAAATAAATTTTTATACTATCTAAAGGAAAATAATGTCAGAATCCTTGTTTGAGAAAATATTTACGCTATATCACAATTGTAATTTTGGTCTTTTCTAAAAGCCAACTTCTTTAAAGGCTCACATTTTATGCTTTTAGTTTTGTCATAATTTTAATAAATAATCGCAAATTTCTTTCGTTTACCAAATTTTGATTTTTATATTTATTTGATAAAGTATATTTCATTAGAAATAACCTTATTCTGTGTGGTTTGCGTTAATAAATTTTATATTTATATAGGTCGTTAGAGAGAAATTCGAAATTTCCATAAAAGTGTTGCTTATTTACATGGCAATTTTTTTTTCCTCCAATAAGATTTTTTTAGTGTACCATTCTGTTTTCCTCTCTCTTTTTTATGCACTTTACATAACAATTAAAGAAAATTTCTAATGAAAAATTTTATCTTCATGAACCAAATTGCATGTTTTTTGACAAAATTAATATCCTCGACATTGAAATATTAATTTAGAAGCAAGAATGCTCCTATTTTTATAAAAGATGTTAAAACTAAAATGTGTGAAATTTTGATGAGTTTTGTAAGCAATTTTAAGGGCTCATCACAAAATAACTGGCAGAAAGTGGCATTTTATATCAACTTTAGTTAGGGGACTTTAGTAACTATCAAGTTATTGAGAACAGTTCCATTGCTGAAGTATAAGATGTATTAATTATCATTTTATAATTAAAAACTTTGGCAAGGATGGATAGATGTAAATTGACATAAAAAGTTTTAATTAATGTCTCAAATATATTGACAAATAAAAGAAATATGAACACATTGAACACATAAACTTTATTTTAGGTTAAATTTTTATATCACTTACATATTAACAAATAAAAACTATTTTCAAACATATAATTATGAATTCCATAAATATAGATCAGACTCTGTCTAGCACATAGATATAGCTATGAGGAAACCACCAGCAAATCCAGTGACAAGAAATTTATATTCGTTAACAAAGTTTTTAGTCTGCAACAGAAGAATAAATAAAATACATGAATATTAGTATATACAGTCGGTAAAAAAAGTATTGGCACATCAACATAGTTTCAAATATTTACGCAACGAAAAGTTCTAACTTTACCAATTAAACTATATTACACTCAACTTTCAAATGAAAACTAAATCACAAAATATAAAATTCCCGTCATTGTTAACAAAATATTTCCATAGAAAAAACGCATTTTATTTTACAAAAAAAATATTGGCACACTCGAATTGCATTACTACCACTACAGATAAGAAGAATAAAACCTTATATTCACTTACTGAAACCGATTCATAATTTGTACTAAGACTAGATTATTAAGTTACGTTCAGTGTTATTTTGAATTTCTCTATTCATTAAGTATGAGTCCGAAGAAGTGTGAAATTCCAGGCTCCACTCGAGAAAAGATAATATGTCTCCGTGAATTAGGAAAAAGTTATCGGGATATTGGAAAAAAGTTAAAATTGAGCTTTTCAACAGTTCGTTCCATTATTAAAAAAGTGGAAGAAACAGGATCCACGAAAAATAAACCCCGATCTGGTCGCCCAGTCAAAGTAAATGACAGGGAAAGGAGGCATGTTGTTAAAATGGCCCTAAGAAATCCAACTCAAAGTGCTCGAAATTTAGCCAACGACTTTGCGTCAACTTCTGGCAAGTCAGTGACGCCACAAACTATTAGAAATGTTCTCCATATGAGTGGTCTTCGGGGTAGGAGGCCAAGGAAGAAACCTTTTATTAGCGAGGTTAATAGGAAAAAGAGACTTGAGTTTGCTCTGACCTATCGAAGTAAGCCAATGGAGTTTTGGAAGCAAGTTATTTTTTCTGATGAGAGTAAGTTTGAAATATTTCGGCCAAAAAGCATTTTAACTGTTTGGAGGAAAAAAGGTACTGCTCTTGATCAGAAAAATATCTTGTCAACAATTAAGCATGGTGGGGGAAATGTGATGGTTTGGGGCTGTATGGCGCATAATGGGGTTGGAAATTTGGAAGTTATTAATGGTAGGATGACAGCTTTATCGTATATAGAGGTTTTGCGCCGTAACTTGAAAAGCAGTGCTAGAAAATTAGGCCTCCAAGACACCTATATATTCCAGCAAGATAATGATCCTAAACATTCCGCGAATGTAACAAGGGAATGGTTGCTTTATAATGCACCAAGAAGGCTACGCACTCCCCCCCAATCTCCTGATCTGAACCCGATCGAACATCTTTGGCACCATCTAGATCAAGAAGTAAGGAATAACCACATTACGGGAAGAGATTCTTTAGAATCTACATTGATTCATTCCTGGAATAATATTTCCTCAAATATTACCAAAAAGTTAGTAGAATCTATGCCACGAAGATTAGAAGCAATCATTAAGGCCAATGGATTGCATACAAGATATTAAAAAGCAAATCACCGATACTGAAAATTTTTTTTATTTGTTTCACTAAGTGTGCTAATACTTTTTTTGCAAAAATATAATAATGTTTCTTTGTTTTAAATGCTGTAAAAGCAAGTGTGCTTTTTATTTTCACTTACTTTTGTTTTTACTATAATAAAGGTAAAGAAAATCCTAGTTTGGATTAGTTTGGTTATTTTATCTTGCAAGAATTTTAAATTAGCTTAGTGTGCTAATACTTTTTTTGTCAACTGTATGTAAACATATCTATCTCCTAAGAAGGCTAAAAATATTAATTTTCAGGGATGTGATTGACCAAAAGGTTAAAAAAAAAAGGGGGGGGGAATCAAAATATGTAATATGAAACAATGAGTGCAGGAAAGAAATGTGAAAAGAATGAGTTAAATAAAATGTAAGGAAAGAATTATCAAAACTACAGCCTAATTGGCTATTATATTTGTTATCAAATAAAGTCGCTAAACTAAAAGGGTAGTTTTCTACCCTTTTAGTCTGAAGAGATTTCATAAAATAATAGGTGAAAATATTTAAACGTTGAAATATTTAAGTGAGGTTTCTAAAAATTAAGAGAATGCAAATAGGATTTGGGAAAAATTTTTTTTTTTAACTTATTATGTAGTTTGCTTGTTTGTTTAGTAATTAAGTTCAAAAATGTTTATTTTTCAAAATCATTAAATATTTTGGTAATTAAAAGGATTCTTTTTTTTAAACACAATTTGGAAAACATGTAAATTACACAGAGTTTCACTTTTCTCTTTCTAACCAAATGAATTTCTCCAAATTTGTTTTGATGCCTCTCTCAGTCTTTATTTGGCTTAAATAAAATTAAACGAAGTAGAACAAATCTTACAAAAAACATTGAGGATTTTAAAATGCTGATTTTTATTTTTAATATGAACTTATTAAGACACGTCAGTTCTGAATCCTGCTTTAGAGTAATATAATTTTGATGTTCTCAATTTGCAACATTTCTATTATATATCTAATTAGCTTTTTAAAATGTTTTTTGGTTGCTATGGATATCAACATGTTTTTTAAGTCCCGATATTTTTGTTGATATTATTACAACATGCAAAAGTAAAACTAAACATGCGAGTAACCATTTTGTGATGTTCTTGATTAGTGAAGACTTTATAGTATATTGCTACATTACCAGCAGCTTTGCAAAAAATCTAAACGCGATTTTAAAAGAATTGATTTTTTAATACAATTATTTTTAGAATATGCAAAATTTTAAAAATGGGAGAAAATGCGTATTTTGAAAATGGGTTTATGCAACGATTTCTTGCACTATAATTCTTAAAGCTGCGAAAGAATAGAAATATGCAAGTTTCTTATACTGTAATGAAAAACAGAGTATCATACAAAGATGAACCAATTTTACCTTACCATAGGAAGGCAAAATAAAATTTAGAGAAGGTCAAGTGGAGAAAGACATACAATAAGCTAGGTAGAACTTTTACACTTTCCCTCTGGGAATGAAAATTATCTTGCGATAAATTGTAAAAATAATTTGTTAAAAAAAGCAGAAAAATATAAAAAATTAAAGAACATAGATCTACAATAGAATCATATACCTGTAATTTAACCATGCTCAGTCTTAGTTAAAAACTGGTAAATGATCGAACATTTAAATCCAAATTTGAATTTTTAGCTAAAAAATTCAAGTAATATTATTTCTACCTAAATTTTTGTTGAGCAGAGGGAAAGTGACAATATTTTATAAGGTAATTTAATTGCTTTTTTATAATGAATACAAGATTTTAGTATTCTACAATAAACAACTATGCAGAACAAATGATGAACACAAAAAAAAAATAATAATAATAATGATAATAAATAAAAAATAAAGTAGGGCGGAGCATTTTTAAAGACATTTTTGTTAGGAGTACAAATATCTTGCCTGCTTATACATAAGTTTCTATGTAATATTTAAAGTGGTAGTGAAATAACAATTTAGACTGTATTAATTTTTCAAATTTTGCCTGTATTTAAAAACATCTGAGTGTGCTTATTAAGGTATTTATATACAAATGTTTTGGAATTATTGAGATGTCATGCTGGCCACTTATTGTCATGATGGCCATTTATTGTCATGATGGAAATTTAAATGTCATGCTGCCATTTTAAATCAAATGTTATAGCCTAAATGCTGCTATTACTTTAAATATTTAGTAAAAATATCTCGCTAACAGCTAATAAAATTAGGTCAATAAATATGAAAAAAAAAATTTATATCTTCCTTAATGATTATTTTGGCTTAAACATAAGAAATTCATAGATTGAAATTAAAAAGTTGCCTGCATCAACAACCCTCTTTAAGTTTTTGAAAAATTTTTAGATTTCCAAATCATATCAGTTAATAAAAAAACTGACTTACTTCTTGAACAAACCAATGTATTTCTTCTTTTGAATGTTTGTCTAGTTTGCCTTTTGCTTTTTCAATGTCTCGATTTACTTTATTCCAGTTGACTTTAATATAACCTTGTCGTTGAGCAATCTATGAAGAGAAATATCACTTTTTTAGTAAATAATATTTCAACAACTATTTTAATGTTTAAGGGTGAACCTCAGTGTCTGTTTTTTTTTCTTCAGGAAAACCAGACCAGCTTTGCCACAAATGAAAAATTTTGAAACTTTGAGAGAAAATTACTAGAAGGTTATTTACCAAAGTATATCGTATTTTCTGGTGAAAGCGCAGCATTGTCGCAAGCACCGCTCATCGATAAAAATGAAATTTTTTAAAAAAAGTTATCATAAACGCTGCAGAGGCGCTACACTGCGCATATCAGCATCCTTATAGAAGAGACCTTTAAATTACCATTTAGAATATCTGCATAGTAAAAATAAAATTTTATACATTTCATAAAGTAAAGTTTTAATTTCTAAATTATGAAAAAAATAAAATTTGTTAAAAGGTCCACTCACTTACTGTTTAGGCAAGGCTGAACTAAATCATTGTTGATACGGGTTAATTTGAAATAAGCGTGCTTAATATATAATCCCTATAAATGGTCTGAAAATAATGTTGAGTACAACAAAATATTTTTAAATACAGCAAATAACATAATTTCTAACTTATTGGAAGAGGGGAGAGAATAGCCTAAAATGCATTAACAAAGAGTTCACTTGAAAAAAAAGTTTTCTTTTTCAGAAAGAAAAAGCAACAAATTGATATAAAATAAAGTTGTTCTTTACCAGTTGGCACCGTGCCAAAAAACAGAAGAGCAAATTAACAGAAAAAAAAATTATTTATATGCTCAGCTGCGCCGATAAAAACCTTGAGTTGGGATGGTCGGAGTTTGAGAGAAAAAGGATGGAAAATCTCAAATTTTAGGAAAGTAAACTATTCTTCTATTATAAAAAAATAATTCAACCATATTTAGCGGAAGAATTAACGCTGTGACTGATTTCAAAAATCTGTAGAACAATGTAATAAGAAAAATAAAAATAAAAATTTTAAGCTAAAAGTTTATTAACTAAAGATATTAAAATAAAAAGATTAAAAAATTTATTACAGTTAACAATTTGAGGAAAAACTGATAACGAAACAACTAATAATAACAAAATAACTAATAATAACAGGAATAAGAATTAACTAAGTGCGCACCAAAGAAATTCTGAAGAAGGAATGAGCGAAGCGAAAACGAGTTTCACTTTCACAATCTTTGGGGGTGGAATTTTGAGGATTTAACTCACAAAGCAGAGTATGCTAAAAATCATGAAGTACACAAATAAACTGGAACACATTTATTATTACTTTCAATGGTTAATTTAATTTTAAAATTCTAATTGAATATACAAATATATATATCGGATCATCATACAATCGGCCAAAGACTCAAAAGATGAGTTGGCTGCTCATCCCTCTCCACCAGCATGAAAGAAGAAAATTGTTCGTTCTTTTATAGATAACGATTTTGTACGTCACATTGATTGAATGCTTGTTTCTTGAATTCCCTTTACTTCCATCCTAGAAATGAATCTGAAAAAAAAAAAAAACTCAAACACTAAAGTTTATAACAGGAAACTACTTATTTCCACATTCGGCCCCATTATAAACTTTATCAATAAAATACTGAAATTTTTCTTTACTTAAAGGTTTCGTGAGAAAATCTGCTAAGTTGTCTTTACTACAGATGTACTCCAGTTTAAATAAGTTTTCTTCTAACATATTTCTAATAAACTGATATCTTACGTCTATGTGCTTAGTTTTCACATTTTCAATCGAATTTTTGGAAAAATAAATTGCAGCTTTGTTGTCACAGAGTTGAATTGGTACTTCCATATTTTCTAATACATTCAATTTCTTTAAAACTCTTGAAAACCAAATAATTTCTTTAACAGATTCTATAAGTGAGATAAATTCGGATTTCATAGAACTAAGAGCTACACACTTTTGTTTACTTGTTTTCCAAGTGAACGGTATACCATCAAAACATATTATATGTCCACTTGATGAATATCTGTTGGTTAAATGGCATCCCCAATTAGCATCAGAAAAAACTACTAAGTTATTTTGATTTACACTTGACAAGTTAATTTTTAAATCTTTCGTATTAAGCACATAATTTAATAAATCAACAACTATATTCCAATGTTGATAAGAATAACCATTACAATATTGCTATAAAATATTAACTGAAAATTCAACATCAGGTCTACTTCTATTAGCTATAAAAGAAAGACAACCAATCAGAGTTCTATATGGGAATTTTTTCATTAAATCTGTTTCAAAAATTTCTTCTTCTTTAACTTTAGGTGGTAATTTAATTCCAGGTTTTAAAGGCAAATTTACAAAAGTTTTAGGTAATTCTTCAAATTTCTTCATTAACTTTTCAATATAAGTTTCTTGATGCAAATAAACCCTATCATTTACGGCTTCAAAGTTTACACCTAACAAATATTTCAATTTGCCTAAATCTTGAATTTCTAATTTACTTTTAAGTAAATCAACAGCTTCATCAATTTTGTTTTGGTCTTCCCCAAATAATACTATGTCGTCGACATACACCAAAAGAATAACTTTAGATTTTAATTTATAAACACAATTACACCAAAGTAGTTTTTCAAAACCTAGTTGTCCTAAAGTATTATCTAACTCAATATTCCACTGTCGTCCACTTTGTTTTAAACCATATATAGCTTTATTTAATTTACAAACCATATATTCTTTACCTTTAACTTCAAATCCTTTCGGTTGAGACATATCTAAAGTTTCAGTTAAATTTCCGTATAAATATGCACTTTTAATATCCAATTGTACACATTTCCAGCATAAAAAACTTACTAATAAGATGAATAGAAATCGCATAATTGAAAAATTTACTACAGGTGAAAAAATGTCAGAGAAGTGTTTTCCTTTTACCTGTTTAAATCCTTGAGCTACCAGCCGGGACTTGAACTTCATCTGGTTTTTATCATCTCGCTTCACATTATACACCCATCTGCTTCCGATGATTTGGGCATTTTCTGGAGGTTCAACTAAATCCCATACTTTACGATTTTTCATCGTTTGAATTTCATCTTCCATGGATTTATTCAACTTATCCTTGTCGGCTGATTCTTGAGTTTCCTCGTACGTTCTAGGCGATTCCAAGTTGTATACTTCGTCTTCAAAAATATCTTCGAAATCTTGAACTACACAATCCGTCGATGAATCTCCACTATCTTCATGCTTTGGACTTGTCGACTTAAATGAAAATAGTTCTGGTTGGAACTTTAATCCGTTCTTGGCACAAAATCGTTCTACGTCCATAGTTGATCGAAGTCTCTCTTTGCTTGAAGGTGGGTAATAATAAACATCTATTCTTGAACTTAATTTTCTTGGTGCTTCAACTCTTTTCCACTCTTCAATTTTTATTGGTAGCATTTCTTCTTTCTTTTGAACAGTTTCTTCTTTATTGTCTAACACTTGTTCTTGGTAGCTGTCTTTGTATCTTACGTATTCACACTTCTTATTCTTCCCAAATAATGTCTCTACTCCATTTTTCGTTTTGTCAAAACTAGCATGAATAGTTTCTACTACTCTTCTTTCTTCTGGAATATAGATCCTATAACCCTTCGTTCTTGTTGCGTAGCCAACTAAGATTCCTAGTTTTGATGTCTTGCTCAATTTGTTGCGTTTTACCTTGGGTACGTGAACAAAGGCCAAAGAACCAAATATTCTTAGATGTCGAACTGATGGCTTGTATCCATTCCAAATTTCAAAAGGTGTTAATCCATTTGTTAACTTGTGTTCACTTCGGTTTCGTACATGAACGTACATATATAGAGCTTCAGCCCAAAATCGGTCACTTAGTCCACTATCGTGAAGTGATGCTCGAACAGCTTCAACTGCGTCACGGTTAAACTTTTCTGCAATCCCGTTTTGTTCTGGAGAATAAGTTGAAGTTCGCTCTATTCGAATTCCCAGATTGTTTAAATAATCTTCAAACTCGGCGTGACAAAATTTTATTCCGTTGTCTGTTCGGACTGACTTCAATTTGCAGTTTAATTCTCTTTCAGATTTTACGAGATATGTTTTGAAACATTTAAAAACTTATGTTTTCTTCTCTACAGTAAAAACTTCCACTTTTCTGGAAAAATCATCTATTATGGACAAAAAATATCGACTTCCACCCAGTGAAGGTGTTGGAGAATCCATATGCACCTTATCCAGTACTTTATTTGTTAGACGTTGATAATTCCTTTTAAAAGACGCTCGGGTAGACTTTGTCACTTTGCAAGTAATACAAGTTTCAGATTTACCTTTAAGTTGCTCAATTCCTTTTACAACATTGTTATTACTCATGTGCTTAACAAGACTGTCATTGAGGTGAGCAAATCTCCTATGACACAGTGTTACGTCTAATGCAGCATTAATTTCATTTTTAAGTATTTCAGATTTACGTTTGTCAGGTAACCCTTTTACAATGTACAGTTTATCTATTCTAAGTACACTGAAGAAATATCTGCTACGGTTATCGTAGATTATCATTTTTGAATTTTGCCAAACAATTTTATATCCCGCTATATCAATATCCCAGTGACAGAATTTTTTCGGGCTTTCTGCGACAAAACTCTCTAGCACTAATATCTTTCTGCAATGTACATTCAATAATACCAAAGATGAATGTTGCTAATTAAAGGTAATTAAAACGCTGTGTTTACAAAAACAAAGAAAAAACAATCTATGGGCAATATTCTAATATTATGGGCAATATTCTCGCATATTGTTGGAGGGCGCACTAATTATTTCCTTTATCGCATTTTGCAAATCATCATCACATTAAAAAAATAATTCAACATAATGAAATCTGTAGCAGTAATAAACGAAAAACAGATGGACGATGAAATCACGCGGATCGGACTCTTCAGAAGGGTGTTAATCAAATGCAATGTTTCATTTTCAGATTTGATTGTTGTAGAAAATAACATCGTATGAAAAATATCGGGTTTTAAGAACAATGTGGAAATCAAAAGCAATAAATGCCCAAAAAATTGATAAAATGATTGCCT